GTCAAAAGTTACCAGTACAAGTTCTAATGGTTTACTTTCAGTCAATTACAGTTGGGATATATGCTGTCAATAACTACAGTGGCAGTCATTTCTTTGAAATGATTCATCACTTCTTGATAAACTAAAAATTACTTTTAAAATAATTAAAACTAAGTTAAAGTTTGAAAGTAAGACTTAAGGGACACCAGAAAGCAGTCAGCAATCAAAACACAAACATCTCACCGATCGCTGAACACACAGTCGATACTAACCATTCAATTGATTGGACTGACGCTAAGATTATAAAGACTTGTCATCATAAAGAGTTTGACCGAAAGTATATAAGTCGATAGAAATCAAAAAATCAAATCAAAACGACTTATTAAACCGAAATAGTGGTGAAACCATTCCTCATGTTTGGTATCGATTCTTAAAAAAGTTTAATTAATAACAAATAACTTTACAACAAAACTATCGTTGGCGTAGACTTCAGTTTTCAAATGTAATTCATTAGTGAAACTCATTCTCATATCTCATTATATCTTAGCCCTGATGATGGTCACAGTGATCACCGAAAACGTTCGGCTATTACCGTATATTAATTTTATTTTTAAGACATTATCACTGATACTACAAATAAATATTGAAAATTTAAACTTTAAAAAACTAAGTTAATTTTGCAACAATTAATTATAAATATAAATATATACCTAAAGTAATTTATAGTTTTTTAAAGTAAAGTTTGTGACTAAATATACTGTATCTAGTTATATTAATGATTTAAAATTTGGGAATATGATTAACAAATATTGATATAAGTGGTTCCCTTTTAATAAAAACTTAATTAGAATTTAATTGAACGCATATACGGTAATCTAATTATTGATGTGTATTTATAAACAAATACTAAGAATAAAACAATTATTTTTTGTTAAAAACAAAAATAAAATTTAAAAGACAAAAATAATGAGAAATGGGTTATATTTATAAATAAGAAAATTATGAATTATAATAAAAAAGTTTTCTGCAATCAAATATAATGGTATTAAAAGGACTTTTAATTTGTGTTTCGATCGCCGTATTAGTGACTGATATAACACGAAGATTTCAAACTATAATTTAAATGAATTTAATATTTTTTACATGAAATATAAGTCAAGTAATGGAACAACAATTTTCATAATAAGTAATCCATAATAAAAACATAATTTGTCTGTAATTTGAGTTTGAGAACAGGTAAGTTAAGGTAACTTATACTATCAATAGACATAAAAATGCGAGCAAACACTCAAATCATAGACCAACTCATATAATATAGCCTTAAATCCAGTGTTTTATTATTACAGTAATTGATATAAAAGTGGAGATAATGTTAGGGAGAGATGGACCACAAAACGACTGATCGCTTCTGTGTATCTCAACCAACGCTCGCGAAGAAGTTTTTAAAATATTTTTTAATATTATATTCATGTTTTCGTTTCGATGTCATAAACAGTAGTATGTAATGAATGTAATGAATGAGTGAGAGAAGTGGTGCTCACAAATGAGTGCCTTTCATACTCTATCGACTCCGAGTATGACTTTTTTGGGGTCTCAAAAGTTTCACAAATGTTTGGTTATATTCAGTATTATATGGGATGACACTCTTGACGGAAGATTACTCGAGAACTCTATACACAACATCAGTCATGCGGTGCCTCCAAATCGATGCTATTTCTCACAAATTGTTTGCAAAAACACAGTTATATATAAATTTATATATATAACTTATATACTGTATATATATATATATATATATTTCTGTTTCATTTCTTACGATATATAACACAATTACAGTATAGGTATAGGAATTGGAAACAAAAGAGTTCCCAAAACTCTAATTATTTTATGAAATGAATGCGCGCTGTAATTGATTCATAACATACTTTAATTCATATTTAGACCTATATTTTATGCAAATAAATTTAAATGTTTTAAATGTTTGTTTGTCTGTAAATTTGGTTCACTTTGTCATCAATAGTTTGGCAGAAAAACTAAAAATTGGTGACACTATTTATTAGGAATATAAATCTTGTTTTACATTACAGTCAAATAAATCCAATAATTGTTTGCAAATAAAAAGAAATATTAATTTTTATTAGATGATTGTGTCCATTTGATTGGTTAAAGGTATTAAATTACTAAAAGGTTTGGAAAAATGTAAAACTTTTAATATCTAATTTGAAACTATTTTTGACTAATAATAAGAGTATCATTAATTAATATATTTAAATTATTAAAAACCTAATTATAGATTAGCATTGATTTTGAAATATTAATTGAAAATTATTTTTTAAAAGAATAAAGATTAAGAAAATTTTTATCTAAATATTTTAGGATTCAATTATTTTATTTTGTGTCCCAACCAGATCACTCAAATTATGGGTTCAAAAATACCGGTATAATAACATTTTGGCTAAATATTAATGCATAACTAAATATACTTGTAATACAGTATAATAATATTCTTATGCAAGTAAGGTAGTGTAAGTTTAGACACCCTTTCAATCCTTATTCTCACAGTATATCAGATAAAAGTCAAATAAAGACCCAAAAATTTATTACAACTTTTATTGCAATCGGTTTTATGACCAAAAATCAGAGTTAAGAACAAAATAATTGAGTGTAAGGTTTAGGTCGAGAGAATCGAGTGAACTGTTAGATGACTGTTAGATGAGAGGGGAAATGGATGAATGTGTGTAGTTTTAGTTCACAAACTATAACATATATTACACTGTATTCAACAATGCATTCATCAAAACGATTCAAGTATTTAATCGATATCTCAATTGGTTTTCCGATATCTCTTTTGTCATCTAATGGTTCCGATTATTAAATTTTAATGACATTTTAAACACTCTTTTTCATTCGTTTACAACCCATTAACACAAGACAATCAACAATAATAACAAAATAATCTAAATATCTTTTTAATTTATTGATCCAAATAATTATTTATTTACTAATTAACTTACTGTGTATTACATTTTTACAATCGATATAATATAACATTAAAATAATTACAATACTACTATACACGGTGTATAACGGTAAATACAAAAACTTAACAATTAATTTAAATTAATAATGAATTTGACAATAAATTTGTATATAAATAGCATATAATACAAATGAGAGGTCGAGACCAAAAGGTAGGCGCAAACAATTTGTAATTACCTCTTCGGACCGATCTCTCAAATGCTTTAATAAGAATAGTGTAAAGTTTAACACATTTACTCCATATCTCATAATTTAATACTTTTATTGGTAAAGGAATTATAACACAAATTTTGGTTTAAAAAATAAAAATAAAGACCTAATTAACATTCATATATCTCTTAACTTTATACGATAGGCGCTCTTTGGGAAAATTATCGATAGTCCATATTATAACCTTTAGCACGTAGTATATTATTGAAATGAACAGGTATCGATTAATATCGACTATCCCAATGAGCGCCTATCGTATAAAGTTAAGAGATATTAATGTATAATTTTGTTCATTATTACGAGAATCTCTAAAATACGTTCACAAAACTTGTATTAATTTTACACATCATCTGATTTTAAAATACAGGTATAATATCTACAAATCAGAATAAGTAATTTGTTTTAATTGAACTTCAATTGTATTGACAAATAAAAATAAAAATTATAGGAAAAACTATAAGATTGTATATCTTTTTATACAAAATCATAATATATTATATTGTTTCAAAAAAATCTTGAACTACAAACTTCAAAACAAACACAAAAAAAAGTTTAGAGATTTGTCTAAAATTCGTTTGTATTGATTAGAAATTGACAGCATTTTTACCGAAAGTTTTCTCAATCAATATTTGTTAGCGCTTTACAGCATTTGAACATAAAATTAGGAAAATATATTTTAATTGCTTTTATAGACAAAAAAAATTAATTACAAATTATTGATTCAAAGCGTAATTTGAGTTTAATATAAATTAACAGTACATGTGATCATGTGATATGACATTCAATCAAATTGTTGGTCGCAAACGACGAAATGGATGATAATTGGAGAAGCGATCCATTCATCAATTTGCGTCAATTAGAGAGCAAAAGGTTTATAATAATCCAAATAATCCAATGATAAAACCGGTTGTCAGACATCACTTTGTTAAACACTCAAACAGTTTGTTTGCTTTTGGGAACTGACTTCTCAAATATTAGGTCCTATCCATTAGATTATAGACTCACTTGTGTTGTGAAAATATTATGTAAATGAAGGGCGGATTTAAATCACAAATAATTTGGTCATAACAACAATTTTGTAACAATATTTCATTTCCCAAAAAAGCAATTTATAAAATTACATTTTTCTTATTCCCGATTTTTAAAAATAAAAAGTACGAAAAATAAAGTTTTATTTAAAGCATAAATAAAAATCATATGAAAGAGTTATAGAAAAACAAAACAGAGTTAAAAGAATTGCAAAATTTAATCTCTATTTTTATTTATGACATTTATGACTACCGTATTTTCTTGTCATTGATTTTCAGGCAAAAATAATTTAAATTCACATTAAACCCCATTAAACGCTAATAAATGTAGGAAAGCTTTTAATTTTGTAATTTTTAAACCTATTAAAAGTTATGATATCTATAATAAACGTAGACTATGCACAAATCTATATTAAACATAAACTTACATTTAGTACTTTTGAAGGGACTAATCAATTACAGTATTTAAATTAATTCAAAAATTAGATTTAATTGTAAGAAAATATCAATTAAATAGTGGTCTCAAAACATTGAAACCTTTTTTTGAATGAATGATTGTTCGTATTAATGACTACAAATGACAGCCTTTCACAGCAAACAAATAAACTCTATAATAAAATATACATTTTATAAAATTAAGAGCAATTATATGCTTATATTTGATTCAATTATTCATGTATATTTTTGATTTTTAAGTTTATAATGATATTAACACTATATATTATAAACATTTGTTTTAAAGCGCTTTTAGTTTGTATAGAAATTGTTTATAATTTCAATTATTCATTAATTAAAGCTATTTGCAATGAAAAATGTACACTAAAAATGATTGTATAAGACTTACAAAAATGCAAACTATTGGCACTAATTGAGACAATGACCGAAATGGAGGTCATGTATAGCCGGTACTGAGATCGTCCTCAAGCCACGAGGGGATCGGGTGATGGAGTTTTGTCAACAGTTTGGATAACGCGATGTTATGCGGCAAATAAAAAGACCGCAAAAACTTGTGCGCTGTTGAGTCCATCGGCGGATATACCCGTCCTTTGCTTCTCCCCAAACATTTAGTACTATTCATGTGAATCACTTGACAGAAGAATCCTTTCTTCGGATCAAACCTCAGATGCAGTTTGTAATCAAAGTACGGCTCAATCTTTAGGAAATTTTGCAATTTATTCATCACTAAAACGGGATTCGCTTTGAGCTCCTCGCCATCGATTATCATAAGCTGTAAATCAAATACAGTAAACGATTAATTCAATTAGAAAAATGCAATCAATTGTATAACTCATGAAATACCTGTTGAGGACTATAATAGGAAAGCCATCGTTCGAGGTGTTGGGCATAAGTGCCTGGATTTAAGCATCGGTTTCGTAATTCTCGTAAAAGTTTGGGTGATTTTTCATTAGCGGTGATCACATCGAAAAACGAAAAGTTGAGAGCAATGGAGCTTTTGTGAGCTCTCGTGTGATGATACCATGAATACGCCCTTTTGATAGGACTGACCAGAATGGCTACCAGTTTGGCGGTGGGCAGGAGTGCGTGCGCCCGCATCGGAACCAATTCGCCGTCAAAATAAGTGGCGCTCTTCTCGAACAGATAACTGGGACTCGAGTTCTTAGGCACCGGAAAGAAGTTCATATACCAGTCTAAGCCCTTATAGTAGTTCTTGCCGTTAAAGAACTGGATCTCTTCGAACGTCTCAGGACTCGGATAATTGCTGACAATCGTCGGGTGCATCGACAAGAATGTGTACAAAGCAGTAGAACCAGTCTTTTGCGGTCCAATCACTAAAAACTTGGGCAACTGGTCACACGATTTGGTGGACGACCAGATCGAGTGATGCCTCTTATCATTGCATGGATTCTGATTGACCACAATTCAAATAACAATTAAAACAATACTAATACCAATGTTAATATTCAATAAGTTACATACCATCCAAATGGGATCACTTTCTTCGGGATATAACTGGAAATACTTTGTGGCCAATGGAAGGGGTGGTAGTGTATAGAGTTGCAGATTAGTCCAGCACTGGACGAACTTAATGACCGACTCGAACGCATAGATTGCGAGTCTGTCGTTACCATAGTTTGACAAATGAGTCATAAATACATTAATCTGTTTAGAGATCATATCAATTCATATAAACCTTGTTATATTGTATATTTAGGTATAAATATCATTAAACAGTTAATTACGGGATTGAATATAAATGAGTAAAAAAGTTCTCCGCCATGAATACTGTTGTCGAGTTTATGACGACCGCCCGGGTATTTGTCCAAAAATATCGTATGCGTATAGAGACCACAAGTCTGTCGGGGCAGCACCTAATCAAATAATGCATCAAATATTTTATTTACTTTAAAATTCAAACAGGAATTCAAAATATTTTGGTAACAAATGTGAATCCAAACCATAATTCCTCTGTGAATGAAGCCTCGTCTCAATCGGGCGGGTCTTAGATGTGGGTACTCTTCAGTGCTCGTGACCCTCACATTCCACACCTGTTTCCACGCGTCATATAACGGTCCGTGAACTGGATATACACCTGAATGATGCGGGGCTATTGAATAGCCAGAGTCTATCGGTATGTTATGTTTCTAATTATAATTGTAAAATATTTCAAATTAATAATTTGACAAATACAGCAGAGTCTAAGACATAACATAATGGCAATAAGTTGAATACCTGTGCAAATTCGTGATTCATTTTCATCTCATTCTCTAAAATAGTAATATTATCGTAGAGGTGGGGCTGAGTGTGAGAATACATGTGACAGAACCACCAAAACTTATCGGCATTATCTGCATTAAATGATCCAAAGTTTTAATTTTTAAAAATTTACCAGAAGTTTATTGAACAAGCAAGTATTCTCGCTACAGACTTGTGAGATATCTTACCCAACAATAGGTCGTCCCCATAGTCCTCATCGGCATATCCCTTGTGGTAATACTTTCCGGAAAATCCTAAATTAAACCGAAAGCCTGGTATAAGTAGACTCAGTCGTCGTTGAGAGTCGAGTAACTCCAAGACATCAGATCTCTTCATTCGAGTTCCCTTTTCGCCAACAAATATGTCGTCGATATCTATGAGAATATATCTCTGGAGCGGAAGACTTAGCTTTCCGTGAGATAAGAATGATATGGAATCCAAGAGCAATAACTTATTGATCCAAAAAGTGAATCCATTTCCAAATAGTATTCGCTGTATTCCGTCGTATAAGCCGTGATCCTAAACCAAACCAAACCAAACATAAATAATAGGTTTTAAAATCTATTAAATTATATGTTTTGGATTCAAACCTGTATAACAGTTGTCACGAGTTTTTTCTTAGGTATGAAATTGGTTTCATTGGTATTCACGTCATTAGAGTACAACTCGATCGGGCGCTGAAGGTATGCCTGACCTAAGGGCTGATAAGACGTGTGATTCGAGTAGAAGACAACCCAATCATCGCCCGGAAGGTTCCCGAACTGCACTTCTCCGGCGCGCGTCACACGTAATATCGGAGACAATGGATTCAGTCGGAAGTCTCTTATGGCCACTCCGGTGTCCATTTGCAGTGGAAAACCTCTCAATTGGACGCCATTCCGCTTTTCATCATTGGGTTGAATCATACCTATAATACCGACGCTGTATTCGCGACAATACTTGTCCAGCAATTCTCGGTTCCATTTATTCATATTTAAGTATTTATTCAAGTTTTCAAATATAATGACCGCAAACCTCCCCCTCTCGAGGTTCGTCAGCAGCGGCAGACTTTTGCCCACTATTTCTGCTTTAAACCTATATTTACAACAAAAATAATTTAATTCAATTCAATTTATTTTGAGTATTTTTCACATACTTTATACGACTGGACTCCAAGATCTCAGTGATCTGTTTACCGAGCTTTGAGTACTGGGTCTCCACGAAGACCAACACCTTTGGATCCAATCGTAGTTGAAATTTGGAGACATGAGTGTTAGGTGTGATCCGTCGCAGTGATGCCCGCAATGGGTCTTCATTTGAGTAACACTTGAATTTGGGTTTCGGAGGAATCCTTATTAGCCTATCAATCATACCATTCATATAAGCATTAATAATGAGATAATAAATGAACACTTGTGTGGACACAAACCCGTGAAGCGATGAGTTGGAGAGAAAATGTGAGAAAATTATGAACGAAGTGATGGAAAATACCACAGAAATGAAGAGCCATTGCTTTATGGAGAGACTCTTGATTCGGATCCATTTGGTACTGGCTTTGGATCCATTCTTCCAAGTAGTCAATGGTTTATACTTTCGTCTCTCAGGTCTTAATATGCTTTCAAATAACATAACGATTGACCGCAACGTCTTGGACTTGGCTGTCGGTGGCAAACAAATGCTCGCAACTAATGGCTAATCGGCCGACAAATGCCACCATTTTTGGCATTCAATCAAACCGTTGATCTCATCGCCGATCGTCTCAATTAAATCCAAAACTAATCCAAAACTAAAAATAAACCAAAAATTATTTATAAAATTATTTGTAATCTGTTTTCAAAAGGCGTCAAAACTGACCCAAAAATATATGTAAAACTTGTCATTCAATTGAAAACATTTATAATTAGATGTAAATTAAAATGTAATCTCAAAATAATTGCTTATATTTTTGTAATTAATTTATAAATTAATTAAAACTTGTTGTTATCGTAAAAAAATATAGACTAACAAATTCATCTCAAATTCAATGATTATGTTTTGTGAAGACCTTGATTACTATTTAAAGCCACAAAAATGAGTAAACATATGATTTGATGACACAATCTTAACATGAATTGTAATTACAAATAATTAAAACATTTAATTTGTCATTAATTCAAATATAACCACTTTTGGGCCATATTTTGGTTCAAATGATTGATGAAATGACACAAAAGTAAACAAATGAATGAAAAGCCATACAAACCATACAAATCATACAAATAGACTAATCGATGAAATAACTTATAATACAACACATGAACTGTGAATCACTTATGAATTGTCATTAACTGTAAACTATTGCCACAATTGAACACAATTAGCGGTAAATGTATTCATAACTCAATTAACTCTCAATTCGACGACTTCTACACTTCACACAGCAATCATTGATTGCATTGATTGGTAACCGTTGAGACCTCTATTTGTTGACAAATACAATACATGTGATGTGTTTGATGTGTTGTAAACTGTAATCAATAAACTGTTAATCAGTTAATCCAATGAATCCGTCAAATTGAGCACAAATTTGTGGATCACTTGCACTGACTGACTGACTGTCACCACATGGAAGTGATGGAAGTGCCTCCAGAACACTGTCCGGGCGTCGAGTCGGATGAGGCGGGCAAAGGGGACGCGTGTGTCGGATGTCCTAATCGTTTGGTCTGTTCGTCGGGTGAGCTGAAGACGGGAGGAGTGGATCCAAAAGTGGCCGAAATAGCGGCCAAACTGATGAACATTAAGCACATGGTGTTAGTCATGTCGGGGAAGGGAGGGGTCGGCAAGAGTACGGTGTCGTCCCTTTTGGCCAGATATCTGGCCAAAGATAAGGCCCGAAACGTGGGTCTCCTCGACGTCGACATCTGCGGCCCATCCATACCGAAGACGATGGGAGTGGAGGGCGAAGAAGTGCACCAATCGATGTCCGGCTGGTCGCCCATCTTCGTGGCCGACAACCTGTCGGTCATGTCCTGCGGTTTCCTATTGTCGTCTTTGGACGACGCGGTCATATGGCGCGGACCCAAGAAGAACACAATCATCAAACAGTTCCTGTCGGACGTGGACTGGGATCGTCTCGACTATCTGGTGGTGGACACACCGCCCGGCACTTCCGATGAGCACCTGTCGCTCGTGTCGTATCTGAAGCAGTGCTCGAATCTGAGAGGAGTGGTAATTGTGACGACACCACAAGAGATAGCGTTAATGGATGTGAGAAAACAAATTGATTTTTGCCAAAGAGTTGGCCTCAAAGTGTTGGGTGTCGTCGAGAATATGAGTGGATTCTTGTGTCCCAACTGTTCCAAAGAGTCCAATGTATTTAAGCCATCGGCCGATGGAATGAATCAATTGCTTGACAAAGGAATACCAGTACTCGGAAGACTGCCATTGGATCCACTGATTGGCAAAGCCTGTGATGAAGCCATCGATGTGTTTGAAAATCACAACAACTCGAAGACTATCACTACATTTGAAGCGATTGGCGACTATTTGGTCAGAATTTTAAATAATTTAAATCCGGAATAGATATAACTATTATATTATATTTTAATAATTTATAAAAATATTTGTTTCTCACGTAAAATAGAAATAAAAATTATGTTAAACTAAAAAAGTTTGAAAACTAATCAATAAAGTCTTTTGTAGACAGCCTTTTGGTGTCAATACTCGTGATTAAGGCATTTGATTGTATTTTATCAAAGATTCCTCAATTGATTCAATAGTTAATTCAGATTTGTGTTGAGTGTTGACACCAAATGACTGCCTTTTAAAACAATTTTCCTAAAAATAATATTAAGAATTCAATTAACGAAGTTTTTTGTATAAAATATTGTCATTTTTTCTGATAATAATCTGAGAGCACTTTCCAGGCCTTGGGTGCCATAAACCCTACGGGAGGTTCGACCCCTTGTCTGGCGAAGCCTCTCATTTTGGTCCCCGAAATGAATTCAAACTCCACTTTCTTAGATTCATCGAAAAACTCCATCTGATTATTGACTTTATTATAAGCGGCAACTCTGAACGGAATGATCTCGAACTTCGTGAGTCCCGGAGCCATAGCCAACACTTTGCGGCCGTGTGTCGGATCATAAAGATCGTTTCCTGTGTCCGGGTGTGGAATGCCGGCCGGATCTCTGCCCACAATGTAAAAGTTAGCGCCCGTCACGAGTCGGGCCTTCGCGTGCCACTGGACTTCGCGCGGACCCGCGTAAGACATGGGCGACGGGAATATTGCCATCAAAGTACTGCTCGCGTCCAACACTCCCTCCTCGAGGACGGCCTCGTGTTGACGTATGCGTACGTCGAGTGGGACGTCGTCTTCTTTAGTCCAACCGCCCAATGGGTGCAACAGAAGCACCGGATTCTTGAATTCGCGTTCAAGGAGTTGGCGTTTCGTGTCCTGCATTAGCAACGCGTGTCCGTTGTGTATAGGGTTTCGCAGTTGAAATGCAAACACAGCGTCCGCCTATCGGTTCATTCAAATCGCTTTTATATTAATATTCACAGTTTTAGTCCAAATTTCAATTACACACGGATTTCCTACAGTTATTACATTTCTATATTGAAACACTTTTCTCTAAATGTTATTTATTCTAATTGATACACTTATTGCTAATGCATTACTTGTATTCTTGTTATCAAATATCACTTTATTTAAATTTTTAGAAAAATCTTGCTTAATATCTCGACTAGATATGAAAATTATTGCAATAGCTTATTGAAAGCTATCATCATATAAACTTCAATACCGGTAATGTATAAATATACAGTATAAATACGTATTTTAAATTGTGCAGTAAGTATAAATTAACACTGAAGTACCGGTATATCTAAAAAATATGACAAAATACGATATTCAAGAATGTAATGTAATTATCTGTTGGAGATCCGCCTCTAATTTACTTCCCATTCTTTCTTACATTCATTTCTCTTAATTTGCTTTTGATTTGATTGGGAGTCAGTCGATAGCTATCGAGTCCATCATTCCACATTACCTTCTGGAATACCTTGAGATCCCCTCCCACTAACCAATTGCCACTATCATAGATCATGCGAATGGACGGGTGGCCGATGTTAGTGGTCTTGAACACAGCGGCCGCCCTCTCCTCCTTCCGGTGCGCGAAGATATCGATGTCCTCCAGGATTGCAATGACTTTGCTTTTATAGATGAGAGAAATACTTTTGGAATTTTCGATCCGTTGTTTGGTTTGGTCGTCGATTGCCAGCACTATAGGAATGGTTTGGTTGTGGAGAGTCTCATCGATTAGTGCACCGAAATGAAGACATTGCAGGTATTCATTCTCTCTCATAAACCCCTGATATGAGACATATTTGACAATTCATTCAATTTTTACGCCAATTGGAAATACCTTTAAAGGTGTGGCCCACCCCTCAGACAACACCTGAACCCACTGCAAGTCGATTGTATTGATATCAATGGATGGCATAAGAGATGCCATTTTGTTGTAATCATTTTGTTGAGATTCAGGAATGAAAAGCTCGTGAATCTCGCGGACTATCTCTTCGGATATTATTTTCTATCAAAAGAAATGTAACTTTTATTTTGTAATACTTTTATCATTTTCATCAAAGCTTTACATTCTGGATGAGTAGTTGAATCACTTTCTTAATGCAATCTCCCAGAGAATCTTCGCCAGCTTTCAGAACCAGATCTGGTTTTACTGGATATTCATATTTACTGCTAATTCCCGTGAACTCAGATATAGCGCCGGCCCTCGCCTTCTTGTACAGACCCTTCACGTCTCTCTGTTCGCACACCTCTATAGGTGTGTCCACAAACACCTCGAAGAAGGGTAGGTCCCCCTCCTCGTGGATACGTCGAGCGGTGTCTCGGTCTCTGGCAAAGGGACTAATAAAACTGGTCAGAGCTATGGCTCCGGCATCCGCAAAAAGTCGGGCCACTTCTCCAATGCGACGGATATTTTCAGTCCTGTCCTCCGAAGTGAAGCCCAAATCCTTGTTCAGTCCGTAGCGGATATTATCGCCGTCTAAGGCATACGTGAAGATCTTGTTGCGGCACAAGAAGTCCTCGATTCCGAAAGCAATCGATGTCTTACCGGCGCCGGAAAGGCCTGTTTGTCAGAGTTTTGGATTAAATCAATTGATGGGAATGTATGCAGCAATGGACAAACCTGTGAACCAAACGGTACATCCCCTGAACCGACGACCGCTTCCGAGAATTTCTCCGCGTTTTAGACGAGAGACGTGATGTGATTGGAAGAACACATTGGACTCTGGCTTCTGGGAACCGGTCATTCAAACACATACAGTCATACAGTATATACAGTATAAGTCAATATTATATGAAAATATTAATATAAGTGTTGATAATAATAATAATACTAATCAATTTTTGGGTTAAATATCAGGAAATTTATTGAGAACTTGTTCATGATAACTTTTATTGTAAACCCCTTAAGGCTTACAATAAACATATTATTCATTAAATCAGTTTTGAAGAAAAATTTTCATTTTCTCATCAATTTTTTAAATATGAATTAATTGTCAACTATTTTTACCTGATTAGACGAGTTGTCCATATTTGCACTTATATTTCACTTTATATTAACAACAATAACTAAAATCCTAACAATTATTGTAATAAAAAATATTTACTAAGAATTGTATATTTTATATACAAGCAAAAATCAGATAAAAAATTTAACGCCAATCCACTAAACGATTGGTTAACGAAGGATAAAACTTTGTATTTCCACTATATGAAATAAATAAATTAATATATTTCTCGTACAAAATATTTTATGGAAATGCGATATACATTAGTATTAATAATAATATTAATTATTTAATAATTTATTATATGGTATATAAACAGATGGAAAGTTCATTTCATAACTTAATTGACTTATAAATAGATCACAATTAGAGTTAGCGATATTTGGTTGTATACTGAGTAGTAAAATAAGCTTATTTAGAATTTGGATTTCATTTAGTATGAACTAGATCAACTAATATTGTATATCATTTAGAACAATATGAATAAAGTGGACTCAAACAGGAACTCCTAGTGCTATAAAATGAATATAAGTATAGCAATAGTCAACTTTTATATATTCGTCAATCCTTACACTACACCAATCTACTCTACGTCAATTTATCCAATATATTTGCAGAGTGAAGCACCAAATTTACTATTAAAATGCACTCAATTCAACAACTCAAACTACAACTCGATTCGAGTGAATACAGTTGACTGATTGGGAGGCAATGCAATGATAAGACATCTGTTTATACCGTTTGTACTGATACTGCAATATACTGCTAATATAAGTCTAATGTTTGGTGGGTTTGGCGCACATACTCCTTCATGTTTGGCATATTTAGCTGCACAATTGCTTCACAAACGTTTGGTGCTTTTCTCCATAAGAATATTTCTCTAAAATAGATGAGAATATACGACAAGAAATAGGAGCCAGACTTCGACACAATAATTGTTGGCAAATATGGGGCTTCACTTGCAAGCAATGAATTGTCACTTTTGGCGACAATAATAAAACTAATATCGATGACAATTATTGCTTAGTTTGGTATTCAGTTTTTCTCAATAATCATTCAAAAGGAATTGAATAACAAAATAATAGTTCTCTTATAATTAAGGGAAAATTTTATATAAAGAGTCATCCTGGTATTTATTACCATAGTAGCATACTTAGTTCCTTAATGTTGAGTTTATATTGTAAATAATTGATAAATAAGAATTGTTACTTGACACTAATGCCCTGGATTATTTCAGTAAAATACTATGATTATAAAAATTAAATTCATTAGCAATGAATTGTTTAAATACAGTCAAAGTATAGTCAAATACTGTACTGTATAAGTTATGCAATTAATTTCATCAGATATTCCGCACAATGTTTTTGAGTAATTTAGTTTTAAAAGTAATTTTAATTAAGATAATTTTATGTTTTTTTTCAATTACTATTATTGTATTATATCGATGAATACTGTATAATTGAGTGGTAGTGTCGGCACAGGTATATGCTTCAGGTGATAATCCCTTCTGTTTGGTGTGTTAACAGAAATTGCTTACTAATTATTATTGAAGTCATTTCCATTTCAATGATAAATAATTTTAGATTAGAAATACACTAGATAACACCAGTTATTATACATTCTGTTTAAAAAAATAAATTATTTTATATGATTTGCAATTTTAAACTTTAAACAACTGAACTTTATTATATTAAATTTTATATTAACAATGCAAGATCGGGAAGTATTCTCGCTAATTGTAATTAAACCCGACTGAATTATACTGGTATAGTATGGTATAATAATAATATCCAGGTCCCGTAATCTAGCGGAATGTCTTAGCTGTCCAAATCGGTGGTTATATCGGTCGACGCTCTGTTTGGTGTGTTAACAGAAATTGCTTACTAATTATTATTGAAGTCATTTCCATTTCAATGATAAATAATTTTAGATTAGAAATACACTAGATAACACCAGTTATTATACATTCTGTTTAAAAAAAATAAATTATTTTATATGATTTGCAATTTTAAACTTTAAACAACTGAACTTTATTATATTAAATTTTATATTAAGTGTATATTGCTAATTTTTAAAACGTCTTCAGTAAACTAAACTAAAATGTACTATCTTTAATAAATTATTAAAACTGAACCAATTCATTGATAAAAGTATTAAAATCGTATGAGATGCAACATTAAGTCATATGAGAGGAATGTCATATTGTAAATAATTGAATAAATATTATTTCACTATAAATGAATTTATTTGTTTAGTCTATATTATAGATATTGAAATGGTTAAAAAAAATATAACAACATAAATTATTATCTCGCTTTAACTGTAATAACTTATTACTATATTCATATTTATTAAACTTGTAAATATAAGTTTATTTTGTTGTTGAGTTTATGTTCTAAATGTCTAATAAAAACTTATATTGTAGTTCAATATTATGTCATGACATAGTATATAGTATATCAATAAAAATTGATCTATTCATTTAATAGTATGATTTATAAATGTATTCGTAAATATACTGTATAAATATGCGAGACATCTCTAATATATATAATATCTAAAGTAGAATATTAAACATGGAAATAAAAATACTAAAATATTTCCATCATATTTGAAACCCAAAATCTATGATGATATTGATTAAGTTTTGTATCATGAATATAATTAAATAGACGTTATAAATAATAACTTATAATTCATTACGGTATAAATACAGTATAGTCAATACTGTATTGATGTTTCATATAAAATTTATTTTATTAATGATCACTAGATCTCTCTTTCTCTACAACAATCCATTTATTGTAATCATTAATTAAGGATATAATTAATAAAAATACAAAATTGCAAATTGTGTGCTATAGTTTACAAAGTACGGTATGCTATACAATAATCCTTAATTCATAATAAAAATGGTTTTTACAAAAGTTGCAAACAAATGGTTTGATATAATTAATAAGAAATGAAATATCAGTGAAACGATGCTGTTATTAAAATAAACAGAATATTAGTGAAAAGGATACAGAATTTATTTATAAAAATTCACTCAATTCTGCATAAAACTGCACACATTTGATCAGTTGATTAGTGTTACCGTGAATTGAATCTATTTTCAGGGGTATAGATATACAGCTCGCACATTATCCTTACGTTTGAATGTCCAGTAAATTGGTTGAGCGAATCAGTGAACAGATCGTCACCACAAACATTAGAGACAAATCTCTTTGGGCTGCGATTCCGGCGTCCAATTCAATGGTAATCAATGATAGGCTGACAGTGTCTGCCACCCAAATGGTTAGGAGTGTGCGTAATGCCTATGCTATGTATTATGATAGACACAGCGTATACAGTGGTGTCAAATGTGTTATATAAATATCAAACAATTTATAAGTGAACACACATTTTCAGTACACATTTCCCTGGGTTTAAAACCAAATCATTTTAAAATATATTGTTTTTATTAAATTGAATTCGTGTTCATATCTTGTGTTCATTTAATTTCAATATTGTCTCATCAAAATGTGTGGTAAGTATTGATTAAATTATTTATTTAATATGAATTTTATTAGATATTCCGGTTGTTTACTATAAGAATATTCTTTAAATATATTATGTAATTATGATTTTATTAATAATTACTGGTAATATGTAATATCTTGTTACGAATAATTAGCTATATTATACTGACAAATGGTCTAAATGAAGTAAAACATAAACAAAATATTATTTTACTAATATCTCTTATACCTTATATCTCTTTACTATTAAATATTGATTTATGAATACTTTTTAAAGCTACACTCGTGTTCATGAATTGTGTTCATTTATTGAATAGACAATGGTTAGTGCTATTCCCGCTAAAATATGAGTTATAGTACAAATATAATATTCGGTCAACTATTACAATTATTATACTTTACAGTGATATTTCAGATTTTCAAGTGAAATATTAGGTCATCGCTCGAGACATAAAACTTCTAAAATATATTTCTTTTACTATCCCTTAAAGGCATGTCTTTTCACGATTTGAGAGATAAGTTTCAGGAATTATATTTGAGACAAGAATTTTGTAGAAAATATGCGATTTTTAACTTCTAATCCAATGCTGAAAAATTATTTTACTTTTAAAATCTTATTTTGATTTAAAAACAAGTTTTCAAATGAATTTGTAAAACAAAACTTTTTTTTAAAATTGGATTCATATGTAATATAGGGTTTAATTTCGATACTTCCAAATCGTGTTATATTTCATATATGAAAATATTTTTAGTATTTTTTGAAAAAGCAATTAAATTTTGATCGAAATATTGTTAAAGCTTATTAATCAAGAATATATTAAATACTTGTAAAATCTATTATTAATTGAATTAATTGTCAATGCATTAATTAATTAATAGAAAATATCCGCTAAACTCATATGTAGGACAAGGAAATCATTTAAAATTCACAAATTCTTATTATATTTATATCCAATAATCTGTTTTCAAAGGAATTAAATAAAAACTCATTAATTAAATCAAACAAAAAACAAATTGAGTGTCAGTCAGGTATTGGATCTGAAGTTATGATTTGATTTCATTTTCAGTTTTATAATTGATTACAGTATTATCACCGATAAAAATAAAAGTAAGATTAAGATTATATGGTATTACCTGTAAGTACTGAATGACATTTTAAAGTGGGAGACAAACATCAATATGTTATAAGTATGACTGACCCATTTTTTGTATCACAAATTTCAAGTCTAATGATGTTTAATTCGCTAGTGAATATAATTTATATACAGTAGTTTGTTTTAAGTTTAAAACAGCTATAATTTACTACTATTAGTACAGTATTAGAAAATATTATTAATTATCAAATTGTTAATTAACATTCTTGTATATAATTGTCGTAAATATTGTTTTGCAGGAATCTTTGCATATCTGAATTACTGTGAGCCTAAAACTCGTCGAGAAATACTGGAATTCCTTATCAAAGGATTACAGCGATTAGAATATAGAGGATACGATTCGGCAGGTATTCAATAAACACATAATATATTGTCGAATATATTTGTTTGAATACAATTTGTTTGCATACGCCAATAGGGGTGGCCTTTGACTTTGATGACGGCGCCATTGAGATAATCCGAAAACCGGGAAAAGTGAAGGTTCTGGAGGAAGCCATATGGAACCGACAGGACTTCAATTTGGATCATCAACATGATGTGCACATCGGTATAGCCCATACCCGATGGGCCACACACGGCGCCCCATCCGAGTTCAACAGTCATCCCCAAAGATCTAGTGATAACAATGAGTTCGTTGTCGTCCACAACGGAATTCTCACCAATTATAAGGACATCAAACAGTTTCTTGTATTACTTATCAAATTGAAACTTCTTATACTGTAATACCATTTATGGAAACAAAGTCTAAATTGTTTTTCCAATTTACCGATTGAAACAGATTAAGAAGGGATACAGTTTTGAATCGGACACTGACACTGAAGTGATCGCTAAATTCATGAATCATGTCTACAATAAACAGCCCAATATTAAGTTCAGGGAATTAGTGGAACAAGTCATTCAACAACTTGTATGAATAAATCAATTATCTTATTATTTATATAAAAAAATAATCCCTAATTTAAATTATGGGTAAAAAGGAGGGTGCGTTTGCACTGGCATTCAAGAGCAAGCACTACCCGGGACAGTGTGTGGTGACCAGAAGAGGAAGTCCACTATTAGTGGGAATCAAAACTAAAACAAATCTAATTTCAGATCACATTCCCATTATATATAGCTCTAAAGGTAGGGATGAATGAATTTACTTCACATATAATTTGCACCATTTTTTCATTAACTATTTAATCTATTTGATCACAAATTGTTTGAATGAATGAATGATTGATTGAATGCACACAAACACACACTAATGCATGACAATTAAACAAAGGGTTGTCTTGAATGTACATTTGTATAGAAATTAAAAAAATGAGTTTAACGGCAAAGAATTCTCTGGGAGAGGACCGGTGGGACATACGATCCCCTCTAAGCCGACAGAATAGTCTAATTCCTTCCGATGACGACGAAGGTATTCATTGGTCTTTCAATTACTCTCTTTCAATGTGTTTCTCGCGTTTTGGGATCTTCTTATGACACGAGTCTATTATCTCTTAATTTGGTGTTCACTTATATCCGACTCTTAGCTCTAGTTTTTGTTGTTTGCTATTTGTTGTCAATGTATTTCTCAAACCATTTATGCCTTTATTTTCTGTGATACCTGTTAACCATTGCGGTCGTGTACTTCATTGTTTCCAGACTCTAATAAGGGATGTAAAGACACTTTAAAAGGTATTATAAATATAAGTTAGTATCATCTCTGTTTTTTATAACAAACGCTATCACTGTATTTGCTTTGTGTTTGGGCTGCGGATTAGTTGCCGATTAAAATGTCTTTGCTTTTATATTATAGTATACCTATACACCGGTATATAACACTAACTGCATGTTTTTCAAATAAGTTTTGTTAAATTACTGAACCAAACAATATACTAAGTATGTCTGGTGTTGCTGGCTCACTTTAGACCTACACCCCCGTCAGAATGGCCTGTCGACCAGTGCGGTCGTTGGGGGCAAACTGGCCCGCTCTCAGTCGACCACACAATTCACACCATTGAATGACGACAAAGTGGTGGAGTATTTGTTCGCATCGGATGCCAGTGCTATCATTGAACACACCAATCGTGTCATATATCTGGAGGACGACGACGTGGCCTCTGTTGAAGACGGCCGTACGTATTCATATGCATTATATTCACACATTACTGCATGCTTTACATTTGCCGTCACTATTAGTATTTTAAAATTCTTGTTTATTATGGTTTTGACGGATTCTATATTTAGAATATTGCTATGAAAACAAAATATGTTTATTTGTTTATTAATATGTAAAATAACACACAACTTTGTTTTCCCAGACAAAATAAGATTAAAACTGCAATCATGATTACCACATATTATATTACGGTAATACTGTAGTTATTTACCATAACTATTATCATTTTCATGCCATTATATGACATTTACTCTCTATCGAAAATATAAGTAATGAAAGATTGAAGTTTTACATAAGTGTGTGTATTCAAACTAATCCTCATTTAGGAACTGTATTGACGGATATAACTAAAGTTATAAAATACCGTACAATCCGTACAATATTTGCTTTCAGTTTTGACGATACATCGACTTAAGCGCACATTAGATGACTCGTCTCTGCACCGGGAGATCATTACTCTGAAGCTGGAGATCCAGCAGATCATGAAAGGCAACTTCAACTCATTCATGCAAAAGGAGATCTTCGAACAGCCGGAGTCTGTCATCAATACGATGAGAGGACGCGTCAACTTCGACAACGAGACTGTAATCCTCGGAGGTATTAAAGACTACATCCCAGAGATCAAGCGGTGCCGGCGTTTGCTATTAATTGGCTGCGGAACCAGTTATCACAGTGTTATAGCCGTCAGTATTTGCACTTTTCATTGTATTCCCGAATGTAATCAAAAACTTATTGAAACTCTTCTACAGACGCGACAAATACTGGAAGAGTTGACAGAATTGCCGGTAATGATAGAGTTGGCGAGCGATTTCCTCGACAGACACACCCCTATCTTCAGAGACGACGTCTGCTTCTTTATCTCTCAATCGGGCGAAACGGCCGACACTTTAATGGCATTACGTTATTGCAAACAAAGAGGTGCTCTCATTGTGGGCATCACTAACACTGTGGGCAGCAGTATATGTCGTGAGAGTCACTGTGGGGTTCACATCAACGCGGGCCCCGAGATCGGTGTGGCCTCGACTAAGGCATACACGAGTCAATTCATATCTCTCGTAATGTTTGCGTTGGTTATGAGCGAAGACCGCATTTCACAACAGCCCAGAAGGAGTGAAATCGTTCAGGGATTGAAACGACTGCCCGATCAGATCAAGCAAGTGCTCGAACAGGACAGCCTGGTCTTAGAGTTGGCTAAAGAACTCTATCAACAAAAATCTTTGCTGCTTATGGGTCGGGGTTGGAATTACGCCACTGTTCTAGGTAATTGTTTCATTGAATCTCTAATTATAGAAATTGTTTAATAAATAAATTGTTTCTAATTTTTCAGAGGGAGCGCTGGTATGTTTGAATGTTTGCAAATTTGTCAAATGATCCTGAATATAATGATTTCATTTAGAAAATCAAAGAGTTAACTTACATGCACTCGGAGGGCATAATGGCCGGTGAGCTCAAACACGGACCCCTGGCTCTCATCGACAAAGAAATGCCTGTAATTATGGTCGTCACCAGAGATCCTGTTTATCCCAAATGTATTAATGCCTTACAACAGGTTAGATGTCATATAAATAAAACAAATTTTACAAACTCGATACAAATTAACTGTATGTCCCATTAGGTGTTGGCGCGCGACAGTCGACCCATAATTATATGCGAGGATAAAGACACTGAAACCCAGAAGTATGCGTTCCGTTCGCTCCAAATTCCACATACAGTGGATTGTTTGCAGGGAATCCTATCCGTGATTCCCCTCCAACTGCTCTCATACCACATCGCAGTCCTCAGGGNTTACATTTGCCGTCACTATTAGTATTTTAAAATTCTTGTTTATTATGGTTTTGACGGATTCTATATTTAGAATATTGCTATGAAAACAAAATATGTTTATTTGTTTATTAATATGTAAAATAACACACAACTTTGTTTTCCCAGACAAAATAAGATTAAAACTGCAATCATGATTACCACATATTATATTACGGTAATACTGTAGTTATTTACCATAACTTAATAGTAAAAGTACGGTAATATACTGTAAATGAGAGATAGCTTTTATATTCATTACTTTCTAACTTCAAAATGTATTCACACACATAAGTTTGATTAGGAGTAAATCCTTGACATAACTGCCTATAAACTAAAGTTATAAAATACCGTACAATCCGTACAATATTTGCTTTCAGTTTTGACGATACATCGACTTAAGCGCACATTAGATGACTCGTCTCTGCACCGGGAGATCATTACTCTGAAGCTGGAGATCCAGCAGATCATGAAAGGCAACTTCAACTCATTCATGCAAAAGGAGATCTTCGAACAGCCGGAGTCTGTCATCAATACGATGAGAGGACGCGTCAACTTCGACAACGAGACTGTAATCCTCGGAGGTATTAAAGACTACATCCCAGAGATCAAGCGGTGCCGGCGTTTGCTATTAATTGGCTGCGGAACCAGTTATCACAGTGTTATAGCCGTCAGTATTTGCACTTTTCATTGTATTCCCGAATGTAATCAAAAACTTATTGAAACTCTTCTACAGACGCGACAAATACTGGAAGAGTTGACAGAATTGCCGGTAATGATAGAGTTGGCGAGCGATTTCCTCGACAGACACACCCCTATCTTCAGAGACGACGTCTGCTTCTTTATCTCTCAATCGGGCGAAACGGCCGACACTTTAATGGCATTACGTTATTGCAAACAAAGAGGTGCTCTCATTGTGGGCATCACTAACACTGTGGGCAGCAGTATATGTCGTGAGAGTCACTGTGGGGTTCACATCAACGCGGGCCCCGAGATCGGTGTGGCCTCGACTAAGGCATACACGAGTCAATTCATATCTCTCGTAATGTTTGCGTTGGTTATGAGCGAAGACCGCATTTCACAACAGCCCAGAAGGAGTGAAATCGTTCAGGGATTGAAACGACTGCCCGATCAGATCAAGCAAGTGCTCGAACAGGACAGCCTGGTCTTAGAGTTGGCTAAAGAACTCTATCAACAAAAATCTTTGCTGCTTATGGGTCGGGGTTGGAATTACGCCACTGTTCTAGGTAATTGTTTCATTGAATCTCTAATTATAGAAATTGTTTAATAAATAAATTGTTTCTAATTTTTCAGAGGGAGCGCTGGTATGTTTGAATGTTTGCAAATTTGTCAAATGATCCTGAATATAATGATTTCATTTAGAAAATCAAAGAGTTAACTTACATGCACTCGGAGGGCATAATGGCCGGTGAGCTCAAACACGGACCCCTGGCTCTCATCGACAAAGAAATGCCTGTAATTATGGTCGTCACCAGAGATCCTGTTTATCCCAAATGTATTAATGCCTTACAACAGGTTAGATGTCATATAAATAAAACAAATTTTACAAACTCGATACAAATTAACTGTATGTCCCATTAGGTGTTGGCGCGCGACAGTCGACCCATAATTATATGCGAGGATAAAGACACTGAAACCCAGAAGTATGCGTTCCGTTCGCTCCAAATTCCACATACAGTGGATTGTTTGCAGGGAATCCTATCCGTGATTCCCCTCCAACTGCTCTCATACCACATCGCAGTCCTCAGGGACTGTAACGTCGACTGTCCTCGAAATTTGGCCAAATCTGTTACCGTTGAATAACCGGTTCATTCCAAACACTGTTTCAATTGGGAAATACATTCAAAAACTTACAAATTTCTTCCTTTTTTCTTTCACTATATTTCTATGTTTTAAGTATTATTTTTTGGACCTTTTATATTAAATCATTATATTTTTATTATAAATTATTGCTTTAATTTTAAAATTATTTTAAGAATATTAATATTTTGTTACAAAATAATAAAAGCATTTTAAGGGTTTTAACCTAATTGTCAATAACTATCACATATTTTTGGTAATATAGCAAACATTTGTGATCATCAAAGGCCTTACGACTCAAAAGTGTGACTCAAATACCGGGTATTTATTTAAGATATTTAGCAATTATCTCCTCATCAAACCATTTCATGTCAATCTGGAGGTGATCTCCAATCACTTCATATTCATGTAGTCTTCCACTTGTGTCCAGTTCTTTAAGTCCAATCCAGTCCTCCGTATAGAGTGATGTGTCTCTCATTTTGCGAATCTCTTGCGCCTGACCTGCGATATAGAAGCCAAACAGCGATGACTCTCTCGGCTCAACCATCGAGTCGTTCAGATATTTCACTAAAACAAAGTTCTTGAGCTTCACAAGCCTTTCCTTGTATTCGCCTTTTCGGGGATTCCTCTCATTGTTAATGTCCGCAAGAAATACACTCTTTTGGGTATAGAGTGCTTCTTGGAGGGGGTCGTGCCAGTACTACCGAACGGTTATGTCACCAGTAATATACGTGTGTTTACATCCGTTGACATGACATGGAGACGGACTTGGTGTACTAGGACTTACATAACGAGTATTCGCGGTATTAACTCGTCAAAAGCGTGGTTTAGCGTGAGTCTCATCGATTGTGGACATCGGGGCAAACCATACACTCCTGTCACACATCAAAATGTTTGACTGTATATCACATCATATATAGAGAGACAAATACCCTGATGCTGTCCACCAAAGCTAATCAAATTGATAATATGAACGTCAGGACACCTCTGAGCGATGGCCCGCAATATCTGTGCGCCCTATGCGTGGAAACGGCAGAAGTGTGTCATAAACAGACAAATCATGGTTTGAGTGAATAATAGCAATAGTTGTAAATCAAATCAAATGTATTATATATTTATGAATACCTGTGAGAATCCCAACGCATTGAATCCATTGGCCAGTCGTGTATCGGCACTCAGTTGACGACAGGCTTCCTCGACCTGATCGTTGAGGTTCATGAAGAAGCCACTCATGAGGTCCTCCTCCGTATTGTTGCCCATCCGGATGGACATCACGTAAACACCGGTCAGTTTGGACTCCAAGTACTTCTGCAGCGAATATATGCTTCCGTGTGCTGTGTCTCCCATCCCGTGATAAAACACTATAGGAGTGGCCGTCTCCTGTGCCCACACCTGTCCACTCGCATCCCTGGCCAACACATACACCACACAAATCACTGCCAACTGTATCAGTAAAACACATTTCCCTGACATCTTCGCACCCATTGTCTCAATTGACTGTCACTTTTGGTTCAATCAAAATGTCATCTATTTTCATATGACACCACTTTTTGGACACTTTGTTGTCTTGTTGTGATAGTTGTGACCATTAGTTGTGTAATGAATGCTAATTCAGTGTGTAATCAGTCAATCAGTGAATCAGTCAATCAGTGAACCATTCATTCAATTAGACGTCAATTTGTGATGAATTGTAAACAAAATGTGAATCACAGTCACAGACAGTGTGACACACTGTGACGCACACCCCTTATTATACTGTACTGTAGTTATGATCTGAAAAATTGTAAGGAAAAACACAAGCAACGTATAGTTAATTGGGTGGGTGGGAGGATTTGTATTGAACGTTTCATTACAAATCCCCCACCCACCCAATTAACTATACGTTGCTTGTGTTTTTCCTTACAATTTTTCAGATCATAACAGTAATGTATAAATAATGGCCACAAATGCATTTATTGTTCAAATGAATAAATAATTATTGTTTATATTGTTTATTATGATACTATTGAATGTGTGTTATATTATTTGTGTTCACTTTTGAATATGATAGACTAACTATGATATGATTAAATGTCCCGTGATTGAAATGACTAATAGTCAGAAATTAAATTGAATACTAAGTATTCACTCAGTTTCCCCGTATGTAAAACACGTGTTTATATAATACCATAAATACTTACGATTGTCACTAATGATATTCAAACCATTGGCGCTATTATTTGATGATTCAGTGATTGAGTGATTGAGTGATTGAGTGATTGAGTGATTGAGTGATTGAGTGATTGAGTGATTGAGTGATTGAGTGATTGACTCATTTGATGATTCTTTTGACCGACATTTGATCGACAGGTTTGACCGCAAGTGGACTCATAATTGAGACAAAATGGTAAATATGTCACAATTTGTAGACATTAGACATGCAATCATACAGTCATACAGTCACACCATTATCTTCTCATTAATCTCTCCATTCATGTGATGATATGTTTTAGTCAAAGAAGAAGGGATTAAGTGGTGAAGAGAAGAGACACCGAATGCTTGAACTGTTTCACCAAAAGGTGAGTCCATTGGATCCATTGGATCTATTGGTGTGATGTTGCACTCAATGAGTGGTCATTTCATGATCTCGTTGATGGTGTGGATGGCGTGGATGCGCAACAGAAAGACGTGTTTGTGTTGAAAGAGTTGGAGAAAATGGGACCAAAAGAGAAGGGAATAGTCATGCAATCCGTCAAAGACGTGGTCCAGTCGTTAGTGTCGGATGATTTGGTAGAGACCGACAAAATCGGTTCTTCCACTTACTTCTGGTCCTTCCCGTCGAAGGCTATCAATACGGTTACCACTCATACACTCATACCATATGACCCCTGGATCTGTTGATGTGTCACTCATTTGTGTCATCCATTGATTGAACAGAAAATGCAACGAAAGAAAGATTTGATGCAAAAGATGAAAGACTTGTCGCGAAAGTCACTGGAATTGGATTCAGAGCTGAAGAAAGTGGAGATGAGTGCCGACGAGATGGAGGCTCATTGATTGAACAGAAAATGCAACGAAAGAAAGATTTGATGCAAAAGATGAAAGACTTGTCGCGAAAGTCACTGGAATTGGATTCAGAGCTGAAGAAAGTGGAGATGAGTGCCGACGAGATGGAGGCCAGAGATATGGCTCTCAAAGAATTGCATTCATTGGAGAATAAGAGGAATGAGTTGAAGGCCAGACTGGAGGCGCTGAAGGACTGCGACCCCCAACAGACCCTACAATTGAAGAGTGATTGTGAGGTCTCCAAAGAAGCCGTCAACCGATGGACAGGTATTTTGCACTCATTTCTCGTTTGATTTAATTTAGGCTCAGTTTCTAGAAATTCTCTTTTATTTGCATTGAAGACAATGTATTTCAAGTGAAGTCGTGGTGTAAACAGAAGTTCAGTATTGAAGACTCGGAACTCAATAAACAGTTTAATATTCCCGAAGACTTTGATTATCCCGAATGAACACATGTATTGAACTGTCTTTTGTGTATTAATGGTTTCTTTCTGTCAATATTACATAACTTTAATTTCAATGAAATACAATTTATAATACAAATTAAATATTTGTTTTCTCTTACCTATACGACACTCAATTCAATTTATTTAGTTTAGTTTACACTAAACTTTACAGGCTAATACAGTATACTGTAGTTTTATATTCACCATTTATATCATAACAGTCATGTAAATTAACTTAAATAATTTATAACAGTATTCTGTATTGCTTTCATGTCAAATAAGTTGTTGTTAATCAAATAAAATGTTTTGATTGTTCTTGATAAAAATAACTAACACATTAAATATTTTTAACACATTTCCATGACTATGATTTGCAATCATTATTTTCTAATTATTGAACATATACAGTAAGTACCGGTACTTTATAATTATTTCAAACTTGTTCCAACAACAGAGTAATTTAAATATAAAATTTATATGTGTACTGTATTTATATGTCTACATTTAATGTGTAGTTTAAGCAACTTTTTGTGAGTTACAATGCAAATAACTTATTACGTGAGGACAATAAGTACTAAATTGATCATTTTGTCACATAAGTTGAAGTGCATAGAAGTCATTAAAAAGTTATATAACACTTGTTATCTTTTCTTATCGTAAGTTTATTTAATTTGTATTGTGTTAATAAATATTATAAGAATTAATATATGGTAACAGAATAAGGTGGCCGTAACACTTCTATTTAATTTCGGGTGATAGTCATTTATATTAAATTTTAATACGGTGTGTAAGGTTTAGTTTAAAACAAAAGTTTTATTTGTTTTAAATCAATAAAGATTGGGAAACAGTTAAAAGTAAAGTGTTCTTAAAATACACTAAACTATTATTACGGTATATACAGTACTGAATGTCTTGTATAATATATGTGATAATGTGTTGGTGTAGAGCACAGGCGCACACAAACCTCTCATTCCTCCAGTAGTGGTTAGAAAAGAGGAAAACCGTTCGCACGAATGGTAGCTTTAAATGCTTTATCTATTACTTTGGATGAGGCCTTGTGTTTGAGGTAAAGCCAAGTGAGGGAAAGAGAGATCACAAAAATAGTTGCATTTCTTGGTCTGAGTAATCAATTTTTGAAGTGTTGGCACGAATTCCATGCGAAACCCGATATAACTCTG